TTATATCATGCTTTTGTTTCAAGCTTTTACTTAGTTTGCTATTTTGCCTATTCAATTGCTCATCCGACTTTTACTTATTTCTACCACAGGATGTGTCTAATCTGGTCACTAAATTTCCTGACTTTTGCATGGAGTGGCAAAAATCGTCCAAAGTAGTTGGAAGGAAACAAAGAGTTGTTTTCCGAAAAAACCTATCAGAAGACTTTGTGGCAAGTATCCTATATATCTTGTGCAACATTTTTTCATCTGATACACTAATCATTGCGCTTATCACCTGGAGCCACACAAAATCTATGTAAAATTCCAGGAACGCATTAAGGCTTTGATTACAGAAACAGTTTGAGAAACTTTTGCAGCCCAAAAAACAGCAAATTTGAAGAAAAACGTATTACTAACTGAATGGTCATCATATTAGACGAAAGAGTGATCTTTTGGACATTTGACTTTGAATAGGAGATGAATTGTTTTTTAACTTCTCCGCGTTTTTCTACGTTACTTGGGAAGCTCGGTTCGACTTAGCTGCCATATTAGGTTTTGCCCTCCCTTTTTATTTGTGGTTTCAGGTACTGTATCGCGCATAGTGATGCCTTTAATCTTATCCAGACCCTTTTATCTGTGATATAAATTCTCATTGTGGCCCGTTGCAGTGGTCGTCCCGTTATATCAGCTGCTTCTAGTTTTTGGAGTAGAAGAAAAATCTTATTTGCAGCATGTCTTCGGATTCGCAGAAAACAGCCATAATGAAGTTGGTAACGAATGATGGTGAAAATTTCGATGTGCCACGAGATGTGATTCGGCTTTCTACTACAATCAACACCATGTTGCAGGACCTTGGAATAGACAACGAGTCGAGCGATCCGATACCGATTTGCAACGTTTCAGGTCCTATTATGAAGAAGGTGTTGCAGTGGTGCACGTTTCACAAAGACGATCCACCAACCACCGATGATTCGGACAATCGTGAAAAGCGCACTGACGACATCCCAAGCTGGGATGTAGAATTTCTCAAAGTGGATCAAGGCACTTTGTTCGAGCTTATCCTGGCTGCCAACTATCTTGACATCAAAGGTCTACTTGATGTAACCTGCAAAACTGTGGCGAACATGATCAAAGGGAAAACTCCAGAGGAAATTCGACGAACTTTCAACATCAAGAACGACTTTACTCCTGAGGAAGAGGAACAGATACGCAAGGAGAATGCTTGGTGTGAAGATTAGGAACGTTAAAGCTGTCACATTAATCTCATTTCTAAGCTTTTCTCCACCTTTTTTCATACCTGCATCGTGTCTTGTTTTTTAATTCAGTGTTGATCTAAGATGAAGTGATGTGCTTATATTCTTCGAACTATTCTGATCACAGTGTTAGTCTCCTCAATTGATAGTGCTATGCCGTATTATATTTGTGTACATAACTTTAATAAATCAAAACATTTAGGTGAAGATAAAAATGTACGATTTGCTTAGCCCTTACGCTTAACGGAACATTGATGGAAGGTACGTATTCTATTGTTCACGGAGCTATCACATTTTAATCTGAAATTTTACTGAACTCACCCTCATGGATGATTTTTTTGGCATGCTCATCACGAAAACCATACCCATCTCCACAGGAAACTGTGGGTTAGGGGTAGGTAGACGGTGGTGAAGCAATTACAGAGTCTAAAGGTTTCATTTGACATGGTGGCATAATTAAGAGTATAATTTCTTGCACTGCTGGCATCAGCTGCATGGTAGCAGTGTAAGAGTTGATCCTCTTATCGAACGTTTAGGCCAACATGGAAAAGTTGAATCATATTATATCTTTTCTGTAACTTTGCAGAGGATGCGATGACACGGGCGAGTATGGCATGTAATGAAAAATCCATTCAAACCGATTGCAGTTCTGTGGTTCATATTTCGTAAATCAAGGTAAGAGCTTTGCGTGCAGAACGAGTATGGTTTTCATGATCATCGTGTTCTCAGTAGACCGAACGATTCAGGATATCGATCCACTGCTAGTATTAAAATACCCGCTTGCGGAATGGTTATGTTTTTCGGTGAACAATGTGTCGCATTACTCTCTGGGTGAAGTTTAAGCAAAATCCAAAATTGCGATATTGGCTGCTTGTGGGGTGGTACGTTTACTGGTGCTTGTCGTTAATAGTTACTTCACAAACTTGGATCACTAGCTAGAAAGAATTGCACACGTAGAAAGCACTTTTTACTGATAAAGATTATACTCTAGGCCAGATTCTCTATCAATTCTTAACTTTCAGTCCGATTTTTCTTCTTATTTACGGATGGCATGTACAAATTTGCCCAGACTGTAGCGAGAAATTAGTAGACATAGTTGAAATGTGCTTAACAGCTGTTCAGTCAGGATGTGTACTTTTGTTTTTGACTTTGACTGTTCAATATTCGCCATTTTCAGCGATGGAAGAGCCGTCATCAATGGCAAGAAGACAGTGCTATTCTTTTTACAGGTGTAAAGGGCAAGACTACCGTGCGTAAGCCGT